GACTCAACTTATTCATGTGCGCTAAATCTATATACTCTTTCATGAAATCATGATATAATTTTTTATAACTATTATTGGAGTTCAGTCTACGCTCAAGACTAAGAAATAGTTTTCTAGCTGGCTAATAAGAGTCACCTAACTTACAAATGTCTACCTTAAAAGGCAATTTAACAATGAAAGCCCCATCTTTATCACGTGTGGTATTTTCAACAAAGTGTTTCTCACAAGCAAGCTCTTCTTCTGAAAAAAACCTTGCACCAGAGTCAACACTTTCTAATTTCCAGAACTTTTTAAAATCATCCTGAATGGTGTTTTCTAGGGACCTACTAAAACGACAATTCGAAATTCTATATTCATTAGTTCTACTTAAAGGCCCCGATACAACCCAACCAAGGTATGTATTCTGCAATAAGCACCCAAAAAAACTTCATCATTACAAATTATATTCCAAAAAATATCTGAGCCAATCAACATTTCAACTTCCTGCAGTTGAAAAAATACAGGATCTGCAAGTTTGCATTTACTAGGAATTTTCAAATGGTTAATATTTATCACGGACAAGCAAAGTGTTAGTTATTTTTGGTATCATTAAACATGTCATATTCAAAGAGAAATTATTGACTTTTGAATATATTGTTGTATTACGCTTATAATTTATAGTTGAAAGTGAACCATTGATACCATTTAGTGAAATGTTAACTTGTTCTTTGCATATTCCGAGCCTATCACATGCCCGCTCCTAGATAAAGCTTGACTGAGATCCACTGTCTAGAATAACACTTAAGTAAATACCACTCTGTACATCAATTTTACTAAAGTGTATCGATGAGTCAGCATTTATTTGGTATAAATACCGCGCCGAAATCCATTACCGGCAGACTAAGGCTAGTGCAGAGTACCAATGCAAAATACCTTTAATGGGAAACCCCCTCTCTGGACCTATCTCAAACCAGACCCTTCGGGGAGTATTGAACTCAGCAGACTAGGTCCAGTGCAAACTACCCTTATTGGGAAACGCCCTCCTGGACCTGTCTCAAACCCAGCTTCAGTCTTCAGTCACGCCAAGTGTACAGAATGTACATATTACTGAGTGGCCTATAAGTAGTACGTCCCTCCGTAGAAGAGACGTCGTGACACTATTTCTAGGGTAATATTACTATTATTCAATACTTATTATCTTATTATACCTATACCAAGCGAGTTTCTCTCTACCTGAACCCCACCTACGCCCCCAGGTCACGCTCCTGTTGTGACGTCCCAGGACGAAACGTATAGGGGTTGTGACAGTATGTTTCTTCTGAAACTTGTCCAAAATATCTACATGAGCTGTCGACAATAAAACGTCACTAACCTCACAACTTGCAGAATTATTATTGATGGCACTTGAATTTGCAGAGGACGAAGAAGCATCATTATTTTCATTACCACGAGGTCCATTATTTTTGTTCAAATTCTGATGCTCAGAAGATTTATCATAATGCAACAGAAAATGATGTCTACCATGACATCTCTTACAAGTGGGACATCAAAAACTTCTACTAAAATGTCCTCAGACAATTTAAACATAGCTTCAAATGCATAATACTGCTTGCCCTTTGTTCCACCGGGATTTTCAAGAATCTAGAACACATTTGAATGTAATGCTCACCTTTCCAAAACGTACACTTATTCAATTCAGCGTTCGAACTAGAGTTTCGGCCTGAGTTATTATCAACAAGCACCACACCTCTAGTGCCACCACTATGACGTCTCTCTGAAATATTATCAGCACGGTTTTGCTCTAAATTATCAAGCAACTCAGCTTTGGAAATTAAAAATTTTATAATTTAATCCAAAGTAGGAAAATTTGTCAATTTTGATTTAAAGGATTCTTATTCTCGAGCAGTCACCTTGTCTAATTTAGTGCTTACCAAGTAAACCAAAGGTACATCCCACTCAGTTATAGGCAGACCTACCTGACTTAAAGCCCGTAAATTTTTTGTTAAATCATTAATTATCATTCTAAGTCCCTTTGAAGTTTCTTTGCTTGCTGACTCGATGTTAAAAATATTTCTAATGTGATTCTGGATTAACATTTTGTTGTTATTATATCGCTTATTCAACAATTCCCAAGCTATCTTATAATTTTTAGAAGAAAATTCCAACGTAGCAATAAGCTGAGCAGGTTCGTGCCTTACGGAAGCTCTCAAGTAATGAAATCGTTGGATATCAGAAATAGAATCTTTATTGTGATTGTGAATAAGCGACTCAAATATAGGTACCTCTAAACTCCAGCAAGTTTTCCAGAGAACCTTCAAAAATTGGTAAATTAATTTCAGGAAGCTTTATATCATGTTGCACTGGGGCCCTTATTCTGTAAGGAACGAACCGTTCGATTCGGTAGAATTTTTTCGATTGTGACGTCATTTTCGGTTTGGTAGTGCGAAAATCAAACCGAAAATGACGTCACAATCGAAGAAATTCTACCGAATCGAACGGTTCGTTCCTTACAGAATAAGGCCCCTGGGCTACAACCATTCGATTCAGAATTCGAAGGTGAATTACTAGGTTCTACTTTTTTATTATCATGCAGGTACCCTTTTGCAATGAAATTCTTGTTCCAATAACATTTCAAATTCCTCCATTTTATTTTTCATCGATCTTGCATTTAGATAAATTATTTTTTCCGCAAACGTCAAAAAATGACGACTTTTTTAACCTCAATTCCTAATGTTGAAGTTTGACTTCACAGACGTCAGTTTTTTGGTTACTTTTTTGTCCGCGCGTTTCGCGAGCGTACAAAATAGTTATTTGTGTACCAAGGCCGTAAAGTTGATCTTTTTTGGCCGAATCAGAAATTTGCGGCCGAGGCGTAGCCGAGGCCAAGCAAATTTCAGGTGAGGCCAAAAAAGATCATTCGGCCGAGGTGCACACAAAATTTTTTAGGCGAGTGTTTGTTCTTGAAAAAAGAAGAAAATTCAACAGTAGCTTTAAACTTTATTGATCAAATAAATAATACAGCAAAAGGTAGATACACAACTATCAATAACAAAAACTACGATAAAGTGATTATAGAAATTTGCCGACTTTTTCGCCTGGTATCTTACATTGAGCTTCTTTAAAAAAGCAATCAATTTTGAAAACTTGCTGATATTTCCGACTATAATTGTAAATTTTAACATAGAGTATAACATAGGTGGACCTAAAGACCATAACGTTGAGGATTATTTAATTTTGGCAAGAAAATACTTCTCCCAAATTTTTAATCATGCCGTTTTTTTTTAGAATTTTATGTGGAAATTTGTAGCGGCCGTAAAGTAAAAGCGGCCGTAAAGTAATAAAGCAAATGCGGCCGTGAAGTAAATGCGGCCGTAAAGTGAATGCGGCCAAAAAAGATATACTTTAGGGATGATATTGAATCCGTAAAACTAATCTTTTTGTGACAGTCGCCTAAAAAAGTACTTTTTTAGGCGGCATTCTTTCGGGGGCGTATTTCTTGCATAAAAATAAGATAAAAAGTTCCTATTAACATGGGTCCGGAAATGCTTCCTAAGGGAGCTACGCCCCTTCGAATAGGACACCTGGAAGACGTGTTTTTCTGTATAACTTTGAAACCCTTCACAAATGGATATTGAAAATTGGTGTATTTTATAAATATTTGATGGCAATTATGATACTAAATTAAAAGTTCAAAAATCTTAATCAGTGTTACATACTGGGGAGAGTGAAAACATCTCTATTTTTTTTTACTCGTCAGGTTTTTGCGAAACATACGCAAATCAGAAAATTTTCGAAGTCAATTTTCTCGTAAACGCTACGCTGTATCGAATTGAACCAAGAGTAGCTTTTCTGTGTAAAAAACTATAAACTTTCTGAATTTTCAACCAGAATCGCAGAAACCTGACGAGTAAAAAAATAGGGATGTTTTAACCCTCACGCTCCCCAGTATGTGACGCCACTGATTAACATTTTTGCTTTTTGTCTTATTTTTATGCAAGGAATACGCCCCCGAAAGGATGCCGCTTACTTTTGAATCACCCTGTATATAGATTGCATTCTGGTGTGTCTTCTATGCATCATGTATTCGCTGAAGAAGTAGATAAATGTTTCAATAGTTAGGGACTATTTATAAAAAACATATGAAGGAAAATTAAAAGATACCAAAGATTTTGTGATAGTCTCTTAAAGAAAATTAAAGGTAATTGAGGGACTTGCCAAGCGCTTGGATCGTTACCGAAAAATGAATTCAAACCTATTTCCTGTTCCGAGAGAATTCTTTTTCTTCCAAGTAACCTTCGGCCAATCAAGAATCAGCACTCAATTCACTTACAGGTCACGAAATTACACTTTCAAACAAAGAAGATTCGTTTTTTTTTTTGGAGGTTTGTTCAAATTAAAACATCGTGAATCTTTAATACCCGTTCATTCTTACCAACCAGTTACACAAATTTGGATAGCGGTAATATCATCAATTCAATTAAAAATGAAAGAATATACATATCAGCATGCAATATATAACTATTGCATTCTGATGTATCTTCTATGGATCATGTAATCCCTGAAGACGTAGATAAAAGATTAATGTTTCAATAGTTAGGGACTATTTATAAAAAACATACGAAGGAAAATCAAAAGATACCAAAGATGTTGTGATAGTCTCTTAAAGAAAATTAAAGGTAATTGAGCGACTTGCCAAGCACTTGGCTCGTTACCGAAAAATGAATTCAAACCTATTTCCTGTTCCGAGAAAATTTCTTTTCTTCCAAGTAACCTTCGGCCAATCAAGAATCAGCACTAAAGTCACCTACGAGTCACGAAATTACACTTTCAAACAAAGAAGATTCGGTTTTGGGTTTAGTAATATTAGAAACTTATATACTATTGGTAGACTGTAAAATTTTGTTTTCTATAATATTTCAATTATTAGTGAATATAAAGTTCCAGTCCAGTTATCAATTTGAAGTGATACGACACACACATTAATTATCATTTACTTTATTTTATTTATTTTTTTCTTCTAGATGCTCCCGTGTGCAGAGAACCCGACATAACAGTTATAGGGGCCTCTCTGGACGAAACCCTCAAAGTCCACTGCGACGTATCCGCTGATCCTACCGACGTCACTTTTCTCTGGCAGTTCAATAACTCCGGCGAAAGTTTCGACGCTCAACCGCCTCGCAGCGCCACTTCCAGTCGGAATATTAGCGAACTGACCTACACACCGAAATCCCAAAAGGACTACGGGACGCTGACTTGTTGGGGCACCAACTCGATCGGACGACAGGTGGAGCCTTGCGTATTTCAGGTAGGATTTAGAAGTTTACGGCTAAATTTGTTTTCGTTAACAATTGGTAATTGGTCGTTATCGTCATAATGATGTGCAATTTGGTTGTTTCTACATGGACCAATCCCCAAGTGCAAGGAATTATATCTACTGTAACGTTTTTAACTACTTTGGATTAAAAAGATGTTATTGCTTACGGCAGCTGTTCGTCGGAAAGCATTTCTGGTCGTGTTTAAGGAGTGCATTTACTGAGAGCGCCACAAAGTTTTTATTTTTAAGGTCTCAAACTTTGAAATAGTCCACAATATTAAATCTGAAATATTGTGTATAAAAACAAATAATACAGCAGCGCTCTCCACTTAATTATGTTTGATAAAAGTTTAATGGAAAATTACAAAATCTAGGATTTCAATTTAATAAGTATCATGAATGTAAGAATAATTTGATTCCAACCCAGTACTACACTTAACTAATTATTATTGTGGTAAATAAAAATAATGATCGATCATTTTATTTAAATTGGGACCCTTTTTACTGGTCTATCTGCCCTTAAAACTCATATGCTCAACCGGACAGCGAACTGAACATAGTAATGAGTTAATCCGTTTATTATTGAATGCTCAATAAAAAATATACAATATAAAATGACCTCCTTGGGTCTACCTGCTCTGAAAATTCATATGCTCAATCGAATAGCGAACTGAACATAGAAATGAGTCAATCTATTTAGTTTAGGTAATGCTCAATAAAAAACATGAAACGACTTCGTTGAGTCTTCTGCTTTCTGCTCTGAAAATTTACATGCTTAGCCGAACAGCGAACTGAACATGGAAATGAGACATTCCATTTATCAATAAAAAATTATAATATAGAAAGTAAGGTCGTAAGCCACTAACTTTTGTAAATATTCCTACAGTAAAAGTTTTCAGTTCGATAAATCAGATTCAGATTATCTTTTAATTTGTTATTTGAAAACTATGATAATCAAAACTAAGGAAATCGCTGGAACTGATAATTGACATTTTTAGGGTTTTTTTGCCTCATATAAATAAGTAAACCTGCTTCCAGTCATACTTTTACAGATTTGTTTCCATTCAACAGGTTGTTCCCGCATCAAAGCCGTCACCATTGACCAACTGTACATTAAAAAGTGTCAACAATCAAACGATCGAAATTGTAGACGTGGAATGTAAGGCAGGCTACGATGGAGGATTGCCGCAAAAATTCGTTTTGGAAGCGTTCGATGCCCACACCATGAGACTGCGGATAAATCAAACAGGTAATTGCGGAGCCTCAACTATCTGTCATTAAGAATTTAATTGAAATAATTCGGGAGCATTATTCAAATTTCAAATACAGTGCGCAGGCGATTTTAATTTCAAACACATAGCGGAAACAGGCAACTTTCTTGAAACCAGTCGGCTGTAAATCAAAAGCCAATATACCTACCTATTACGTATTATATTATACATAACTCGAGGCAACAAACAGCTTTTCCGATGCTATAAACCCAAATATTTCCAGCCTGATGCCGTTTCGGGAACCACCGAACAGGTGTTTTAATATCAAACGCAGCTTCACGTATCTGGGGCACAGATTTAACCAAATATGCATTTAATTGCATCGCATAGCATGTGCAGTTTCCAGGTGACGTCTTTGTTTTCTCTGGGAGAAGGAAACTAATTCCGCATGTGTATTGTTTGTACCTGGAATAGTTCAGCTGTAGATGAGAATAATTAGTTTTTGTTGAATAATTGAAGATTTTTTGAATATAATTTAATTTCCTTCTAAATTTTTTTTTCTTAGTAGGAGATACTGAATACCCCACTTTTCACTTGGACTTGGGAGACCTGTTGCCGTCTCCTCCATCCTTACGAATAATCGTCTACTCAATAAATGCCAAAGGAAGAAGTGACAAACTTGTTTTGGACGATATCACGTTGAATGATGCAGAAAAAAGAACAGGTCAGTAGAATATAATATTTGATTCATATTTAATGTTTTGAAATTTATCGGAAAAGTTGGGGAAAACGCTGAAATAATTGTAATATCTGTAGGATGACAAAGGCAAACAACGTAATTCTAATAAATCAAGGTTTATTACGGCTTATATCACAGGTTGATTAATACTTTATATTTAAATCCATCGCGTTACAATAAGGGATTTAGACGAACGGTGACGTCATAGCAAGACGTGGATTTCGAGCATGGTAACTTGTAAGGCGGTGTACAGCAGACTCCCTCTAGTGGCCCGATGTGGGTTGCTCATAGCTGGTCGTAGCAGTATAAAATATAATTTGTCATTATGGGTCATTGAAAAGCACTTTATACCTAGATTGTTTAAACCTTTCACACAAAGTAACATAAAAAATGTTTCAGTCTATTTCTACTACAAAATCGCTTAACCTGGGTGGTTGTCGCAGAGCATTACCTACTTGCCTGTTATTAGTCACCTTTGCTTACTTAACTCAGGTTTTATTCCATGTTCAAAAGTGAGAATGAATGAGGAATCCGGATTTCCACCATTATCGCAACTATTACGAAGCAAGAGTAAAACTTCGCAATGTCTAAAAGGGTTCACATCATGACCCCCAATACAACCCCACGACGATATGGTGTCCAACTCGATGGTACGAACACCCAAAATAAAAACCTTGAATGATCTGCACCGCTACATTCCTCGATTTATGGAGAAACTTCGCAACAGAATTTATCAGAGAATATATTACATAATGTGGCTTCCATAACTTCTGAACTTTGGAAAGGATTAGGCTCACAAAACAACCTCCTGTCCAGCTACCAGTGTTTTCAGGATTGGATTGGCAAATTCGGAAAAAAAAATTCCAGGAATTTAGATCCTATTTTGAGAAGTATAAAGTTCTAAAGAAATGTCAAACTAGTCAAGTAAGGCATCATCTGGAGGGAGAAGCAAAATCATGGTTCTCTGCGTATGAACTACATTTAAGTTTTGATTCTTTCTGTAATAGAAGATTCGATATTGATTCTCTAAAGGCCTCTCTATATAGAAAATTATATGGCGAAAAGCAAACAAATGAGGATAGTTCAATCTTTTTAACTAACAAACGTAACTTGTTTTATCGTCTTGAACCAACTTTAGAAGAGAAAATAATGGTTATAAGAGTTTTAGAATTATTGAAACCAGATTTACGCATTAATTTGAGAAGTAGATATTTTTCAAACTTTGAAGAATTAATTTAAGTGTCAGTATTGTATGAAAACGATCTCAAAGATATAAATGAAACAGATGGGAGAAGGATAAAAAATACCTCAAATTCAAGACCTCCTTCATATTTTAGATTCTGTGGTGAGTGGCAGTATTATAAAGACTGTCCACGACCAAGACAAAGTTATTTGAATACAAAAAACTAGCTGAAGGTCGGCCACCAAGAAAGCAGACTATTAAAAACTATAATTTAGACAAAAAAATTACCACGTATTCAAATTACAGTAAATAACAAGCAAATTGAAGCTTTACTCGATACGGGAGCAAGCGATTCATTCCTGAATAAGCGTTTCGCCCTCAGTAATAATTTAACGGACAATATAACAACTGTAAGATGATCCAAAGAAGATGTTACTTTCAAAATTTCATGTAGTAGACTCATTGTCTGAAGATGCAATTTTAGATTTTGTTCAAAGTTGAATTTACTTATGAAAACAATTCAGGTTCACACTATATTGGAATATTTATCCTGAAAAAACAAAACAAAAACCAAATCAACAAAATATTACTTTCGATTTAACTCATTTAACAGACAAGACAATAAACATGTACAAAAACATATTAAATAGTTTTCATGATATTTTTGAAGAAGGTTTGCACCAACCAACTACAAAATTAGTAGATCCTAGAATAACACTTATAGACAAAACACCATTTAAGATCAGACGTTATCAATATTCCCCGAAGAAAAGAGAAATCATTCAAGATGAGGTAAGAAAAATGTTAGCTGCGGGTGTAATCAAAAGAAGTCGTCCTAGTTTTTGTTCACCAGCTGTGATTGTGGAAAAAAGAGATGGTTCACCTCGGTTTTGAGATGATTACCGTCAATTAAATAAACAAATTGTGCCAATAGTATCGCAGTTACCGCATATAAGAGATACAATAAAAGATCTTAGTAATGCACAGGTATTTTCATCATTGGATTTAAAAAGTGGATACTGGCAAGTGTCAATTGAACTGGAAAGTACTAAATTCACAGCTTTTGGAACTCCAGATGGTGCTATGTATGAATTTTTAGTCATGCCGTTTGGTTTAAGGAACGCTCCATCTACATTTCAAAAACTCATGACCGAAGTTTTGGAAGGTTACATCATACCCCGCGATCTTTAAATGTACCACTTGTTTCGATAAAAACTTGTTTCCTGCCCGGTAGAGGCGCTATCAATTTACTTGTGTACGCGTTGTTGATTGTATCTCCAAGGTATCTCCGCTTCTGGAGAAGAAAGGTGACGTCATTTTCAATTAAATTATGACATGAACTCATGAAATGACAAATGATGACAAAACGATGAACTGGAAAACGTTGTGCTTCTTGTTGTTTCAATATTTCAGTTTGTTAAAAAGGTATTTCGTATTGTTAATAGAACGTTTTCTGTGTGTATTTGTGGACTTTTACAGTGTTATGTTTAGTGCAAAGACATTGTTATTTAATTCTGTGTTGTTAAGTGTTGATTTTGTTGACAAGTTGCGAAGTTGCGAGACGGTAACATAACATTCTTTGTAATAAACCATTATTTGTTAAATTTGTATCAAATTGTGTTTTTATCATAAAATAAATAAAAAGCAATAGGGAACTTGCAAGTGAAGTTAAATTTTCCAAATTTGTTTTAAATCGATAGTTTATACTGCAAAATATTTATATGATCAGTTTTTATTTAACTGATACCGTCCTTGTTGCAGAAAAAATAATGCTAAATTTGAAATAAAAAATTTCCCGCCAAAACAATGCTTCCATGATGGCTACCTTTTTTCACGTCACGATTTTGTAAACAAACCTGTCAATAGGGAACTTGCAAGGGAAATAAAATTTACAAAAGCAGTCCTTCACAATATTCTTCATCCATTTCGACAATTTTCACAAAAAGCAAACTTTAACACACTTAAATAACACAAAAATAGCACTGCGTCAGCAGGAGTTCGTTTGCTGCGTTTGTTGTTTACAAAATCTTGACGTCACCAGCGCTGTCATATTGAAACCTCGCGTTTTCGCGCCAAAGTTTTTAATTTGAATTTAAATTAAAAAAAAAAATCCTACAACGTAGGTATAGATTAAAATGGAAAAAAAGAAAACTATGTAATATCTGATCACTAGAAGTATCTAAAAAAAAATAAATTGAAAAATATGAAAATTCCCTATTCTAAAAAAATTAAAAGAGAACTGCTCTACAAGCTGCTACAATCGGATGAGCTCTTTTCATAGATAACAGATGGCACCACAAATGGTTATCCGACCCGTATAACGCGAGTGTCTGTTCTCTGTTCTATCTCCACTATAAACCTTATTCTATGGGTTACATTGACAGAAGTTCTTTGGGGAAAACATCGACAGGGCCACATAAAATAACGGGGAAAAGAGGTCAACGGACATATGAGGTGTTAAGAGACGATTATTTTATAAAAGTTCATGTAGATGATATGAGACAATTTGAAGGTGTTCCGTTTCGAAGCAGCAACGAGTCCAGCCTAATTGATGCTGAGCCTAGAAATGGAACTGAAAACCTTCGAGGATATAGAGGACCAGTAACAAGAGAAAGAGCTAAAAATACTGGGTCATGATTTTTTTTTGTTAAGAGTGATACCTACTTGCCTGTTATTAGTCACCTTTGCTACAGGAATAATCTCTGACATCTCACCTTTTTCGGGGGTAGTATACAAGTGATTTTTAACTACTGCATAGTGATATACTCGACGTATCGTACTATTTAGTGTTATCAGTTGCTTTGTAAAAACCACAAGACACTGGAATTTTTTTTTTTTAATTTCCTCTTAGCCCCGCCCCTACGTGAAAATAAAAGTTCGTGACGTAGTTAGTTTTTCCAATCTGGCAACACATCACGGTTTTGAGAACGCACAATGTGCACTGACATTGACCGTCAAGAACAAAACGTCAAATTTTAACGCCAAAACAAACCACGACAATATCACATGTCACACGATTCACCTTGCGTTCGGTATTTTGCTCAGAGAACAAGCAGAGCGTGTAAAGCGGAGCCGTAATCACGTGGCCAGCGAGCGTACAGAGCAGTTAAACGCTGTATCAGAGGGCTCGAAATTTCAATAAACGAACGTGAATGAGCCTGCACCGAGTACACTTTTTAAATAAACGAACGGTTTTTTGCTCGGAGAACTCATCAAAATACCGAACGCACGGTCACACGACACCACCACACGTCGTTGAACTGTTGAAGTCAGCTGTCGTTTTGAAGCATTTTGAGCAGCGTTGCCAGATGGTCAGCGGCTCGAATATGATTGGTCGCCGCTGTGGCGCTAAATTCAAATTACAGTTTGTTTTTCTATGACTAATTCTATAGACATTATGCTGAAAATTAATTTAGTATTCCACTATACCATCACCATTTAGCCTATAGAATAACGTCGAGCAGTTTTTTTACTGATATTCATACATAGTATACTACCCCATTGTGTCACACAATCGAACACGCGTCATTTTAATATACATTTTTTGATAATAATAGTTGCTCAGTTACTCTCCGATTCAGATTCGATGGTATTTTATAAAATTTAACGTTGTAGCGTTCTCCCCTACTACTTCATTTTACTACACAACAAAATGCAGGCGTTTTATCAATATTTTTGCGCACTTTAACATTTGCCTGCCCTGGCTAACTTTTGACCACAACTTTTGACAGCCGCCATTTCTGACAGTTTGTTGGAATGCCTAATAGATTTCAATCTATCAATTTAACTCAGGTCACTCAGG